TATAATATAAAATATTTTTTTATATAATTTAATTTAAGTTTAATAATAAAACAATTTATTTTTGGTTTAATATTATAAATTTTATAAAGATACTAATTAAGTATTCTGTTAGAATTTGATGATTATACTAATTATATTTTAGATTTTTTATATTTAAGGGGTGTTTGGGATTGCTTATTTAAAACAACTTATGCTTTTTTGTAAAAGTACTTATTAACTTATGTGGTATCAAATCGGAGTTTTATAAAAAGTGTTTGGATTAGCTTATAGCGGTACCAAACTGCAATAAGCTGATAAGTTGTTTTTTAGTGTTTGACAAATTTTGCTTATATCTGTAAAATGACCAAAAAAGACAGTCTTCCATATTATTGACTTATGAGAGTGTTTGAGATTGCTTATTAACTTATTTGATTTTTTAACATGTAAAAAATTATTTTTCGTCATTTATAATATATTTGAGAAATTTATAATTAACAAACATTTATACCAATACCATTAATAATTCAAGAAAAAATAATATATTTATAATATATTTGAGGAAGGGATATTGATGATGAGAGGAAGGGATGATGATGATGAGACGTATCTGATGTTTGGATAAATTTAAAGAGGGTTAAAATGGTAAATCGGTGATAAGTTGTTTTTCATAAGTCAGGAAGGATTAACTTATCAAAAACTGCTTATTACCGGTTTGGCACCGGTATAAGCAGTTTTTTTTTTCTTTTCCCAAACACTCTAAAATAACTTATCTCCGGTGCCAGACTGAAATAAGTTAAAAAGCAGTTCCGATAAGCAATCCCAAACACCCCCTTAAAATGAGATGTTTATTCTGTATTTGATTGTGTTTATCTGCAGTTAGTTACACAAATTCAGATATGGGATGAAATCGGATAGGGATGAACGGGTTTAAGAGTTTTAAGCGTTTTAAGAGTTTTTAAGAGTTTTAGTCAAATGCTTTATAAGATAGTATAGATAGTATGGTTTTATTATCTCAAAGCATTTAAAAGAGAGTAAATTATTTTTTAGTCCTTATGGTTTGTCAAAAGTTTCAATTTTCATATTTATGGTTTTGAAATTACAATTTTAATCTCTATGTTTTAAAATTTATTACTTTTTTTGTTTTTATAATTTAAAATTTATTGATTTTTTTGTTTTTATGATTTATAATTCATTTTTATTTTAGTCATTTATACTTAAAAGTAGTGTTTTACCCTCAAGAGTGAAAATAAAAATGAATTGCAAACCATCGAGATGAAAACCAAAACTTTAAAATCATAAGAACAAAAATAGAAATTTCCAACTAACCACAAAGACTAAAACGTAATTTACTCTAAAAAAATTATATAAAATAATAATATTTTAATCTTAATGATGAAAATAATAAAGAAAATTCATTTATCTCATAGCCCATCAAGTTTTAATTTAGTAAACATACAGTTTCCCTTATTTTCTTTAATTTAGAAAACAATATATAAAATTTACTGAAGTAAAACTATAGAACAAAAACTTATATTTTTTTTTTTTTACTTTTTAAAAAATGTGGTGGAGATGCTATAGCCAAATAAAGCCCAATTTTTAGGTACCGTTTGATTTGCAGGAATGGAATGGATTTGGAGGATTTGAATTTCAAATCCATTTTAATCCCATGTCTAATTTGTTGGATTATTCAGATGTGAAATTCTAGGATTTAATTGAAATTCTACATTCATAGGATTTTGAAATCGTTTAGGGTGCGTTTGGTTTGCAGGAATGTTTCTGAGGGATTTGGATGTGTAGGAGGGATTTAGATTCCATGGGATTTGGATTGGATTGGATTTAAAATTCATTCATTTGTTTGGTTTGCAGGATTTGGCAAGCAACAGAGATGAACCCAAAAATCCATTAACCCAAAAATCCAAACATATGCGAGTACGAATTTAGAACACAAAAATGATTTGGACTTCAATTTGATGCACAAATTGCATCAGATCGAGACCACAATCAATGAACATGGAAAAAATAAAAACGAAACCCAGAAAAACCCTAGAAAGGATATGAGTCATCGTCGATGTGGAAATCCGATAGAGATGTTTGTGTGGTAAGGAAGTGGAGGCAGAGACGACAGTTGAAGACTTGAAGCAAAAGGATGGTCCACCTGATTAGGGCACAGCTTTGCAAGGGGACGGGAAGGGAGCACCGACGAGGAGGACTGATTAGCGGGAAGCGGGAAGCCATGGGAGCACTCGACAGGAAGCGGGAAGCCATGGGAGCACTCGACAGGAAGCGAGAAGCCATGGGAGGAAAAGCTATGGGAGCACTCGACAGGAAGCGGGAAGCCATGGGAGGGATGACTGATTTGCACTCGACAGGAAGCGATGGATTTCAAATCCTGCCCATTTGCAAAGGATTTCCAAATCCCGCGTGTAAAGGATTTTAATGAAATCTCAGGATTTCAAATCCTGATAATTTGGCAAACCAAACACAGGATTGGAATGAATTTCAAATCCAAATCCCCCCAATTCCATTCCAATCCCGCAAACCAAACGCACCCTAGGTGTTTGGAATTTCACAGGATTTTAAATGATTGTATGCAATAAGGTCTAAAAAAACATTAAAAACATTTGTTTTCTAATAATCGATTAATAAAAATGTAATTTAATTATTATTATAAACACTGGAATCCAATTTCATTCCAAATCTTACAAATCAAACACATAAAGAATTTCAAATCCCTTTATAAAATCCAAATCCCTCACAAACATTCTGCAAACCAAATTGTTCAAATCTCTTCTTACGCTTCTCATCTAAACTATCTTTCTTACACGATCCTTCGCCTTTTGTATTTTTTGTAAAAACAATGAAAATAATATATCTCCTTTTCCAATACTAAGTTTTAAAGATGTCTACTTCACATCTCTTTACTTTTTACTATTTTAACATATACTTCAACATATTTCAAACAAAAAACCGAAAAATCTGTTTGCTTAGATGCTCCATCCCCATCAATCCTCCACCATCCAACTACAATGAATTGATATGGCAGACAACATTTTTCCAATTGAAAGTGAAACAAATAAAATATCTGCTTTCCCTTCCTTTACCTTCTTTCGACTAAACTGCCAAAAGGAACATTGGAAACCAGAGTTTTTATCATCAAATGGCTCATCAGGGTCCAAGACTCCTAGTGCCAATAGATGTCACCAAGAAACCAA